GAGGGAAAGGGGGGGGGGGGGCGCATAAGAGGGCATTTGACTGTCATTAACGACCGGACGCATTCCCCTGGAGTGAGCGAGAGGGATGCAAAGGGGAGAATAGCAAGAGAACGAGAGTGAGGGAGCAAGAGATGGCGAGAGGGACAGGGCAGAGCGATCCTAGTGGGATAGTACTCTTCTGGCCATTCATTATCTTCTCTTCGTGGGGGCACCCTCGTCCTCAGCCCGAGTTTCGCCCTAGATGATTATAAAAAAACAAGTAGAGAAAGATGATGACGTGATATCACGACACATCCCTTGAGCGCTGCTTTTTTATCATGTGCCTTTTTTTTCGGTTTTTTTTTTTTTTTCTTCTGTTTTCGTCTGTGTGCTGCTATGCTGTCGTCTCTTCTCGTCTGGAGCTCCTCCGGTCACTCTCTATGTTGCTGTCATCTGTTTTTTCTTTTTCTTTTTGGAACTTTCGATCTCCATTCTTTCACTCACTGCTGGGGATGTTGCCACACCGGTTCATCGCTCCTCTTCTTTCATATTTTGCGCGCCAACACCAAATGCCCATCAGTTCTGATTTTAATCAGCTCACGATGTCTGTCAATTGTGCTCAATGGAGCCTTACTTCCACTCATCAAGATGATGAATGGTTTGATAAAAAATGGATTGATTAAAAATGGATTGATAAAAATGGATTCATAAAAATCGGTAGAAAAAACGAGAGGTCGTGGCTGTTTTCCCCTTCCATCGGTTGTTTTTTCCGCTTCTGTTTCTTCATGCTCACGGCCATCATCGAGTATTAATTTAATTATTAAAAAATCCACTGACATGCTACACACATCATCAGATTCCAATCGGCTTGGGGTTGCTTCTTCTTTTCACCATTCTTGTGGGCATCGTTCTCTGATGTTTGTACAGCAGCAGTTGGTTTTATATTTCTCTGTTTCCTGCCCGTCTGTCAAAACGCTGTTTGACAGGAAATAGGTGACATGAAATAGGTGGTAGCTGTAATTAATAATAGTATATAGTTAAACAGAGCTGCCTACGGTTTTGAGGGAGAAGGAGAAGAGGACAGCAAACGAGGGGCTGTGGCAAACTGTTTCGTATATGTATATGTACATATATCATCACATAAATATCAGAGCGCAAAAGCGAAAAAGACAAAGGAAAACAAAAAAGATATCAGTTCATTTTTAATCTTCTTCCTTACAAGACTCCCCCTGTTCAGAACCTCTTGCGTACAAGGCCGCCCACGTGGATGTAGGTTGAGCGGCGGCTGCCGCCACCCCCGTGTGTCATATCGACCCACTTGCACAGAGCTGAAGGGCAAAGAGGCAAAGAAAAGAGGAAGGGAACAGCCAAATAATACAGAACAGGGGGCAACAAAACAAATCCCAGATGACAAGTCCCACATGCAAGCACCGCCCCAACTCACAGGCCAAACGACGGGACGAGACCAACCAGGATATCAAAACATTCTTGTCTGCAAAGAAAGCAAAAAGAAAGGCTCCGATCCCAGTGTGACAACCAAAAAGAAAGAGAAGACAATCCCGGATGACGATTCCCACATACAAGCACCGCCCCGCGCTCAAAAGGCCGAACAACGGGAAACAACCAACCAGGATGCCCAATAACAGAATCAAAGCAGACAAGATTCACAAAACAAACATTCTACCATATCCACAGTAAAAAAACGGAACCATTCAGTAGGCCCGCAAAACGCAACACCCCAATCAATAGGGAAGATTAAAGAGAAGATTAACAACTTAAAAAATATTCTCTTCCATATTGTCACGAGAGTATCAGAGCGCAAATGCGAACAAAAAGGGAAAAAAAAAACAAAAAAAAACGTAAGAGGTGATGAACAGTTGGGGCTTTCCTTCCTTTCTTCTTTTCCTTTCCTTGTTGTTTTGCTTCTTTTTTTTTTTTTTTTTTTTTTTGCCTTCGCGCTCTGATTTCCAGTGTGACAGTATATATATGTTTTTACGTCAATAGCTGTACAGTACTGGGATAATTAATCGGAATTGTGCGGGCGTAGCCGCACTGGCTTTCCTGGCTAAGAAACCATAACGATGGCGGCCCATAACTCAAGGATGCCACGCGTTGATAGATCTCGTGGATGACACACACACACACACACACACACACACACACACACACACACACCACACACACACACACACACACACCCCACACACACACACACACCACACACACACACACACACAAGCCCGATCTGTTCTGGAGGCCAGCAATCTGGTTACTTATCACGGACATGCGTTGATGAGTAAGACTTTGCTACAACCAGCTTGCTGGGGTGGGCTGAATGTCACGACGGGTATGACTTTCGTTTTGAACACGGGGTCGCAGTTGCAGTGGTAAAGGCATCTGGCTGTTATAGGCAAGGTCACCGCGCTCGCCGGCAGTTGAAGCGGGTGTCATAGTGGGTGTTCTAGTGGGTGTTCGAGTGGGTGTTCTAGTGGGTGTTCTAGTGGGTGTTCTAGTGGGTGTTCTAGTGATTGAGATTGATTGATTACTTGATTGAGAGTTGATTGATTGATTGATTGATTGATTGATTGATTGATTGATTAATTGATTGATTGATTAATTGATTGATTGATTGATTGAGATTGATTGAGATTGATTGATTGATTGATATTGATTGACTGGCTGATTGATTAATTGATTGGTGTGCACGGGGTCTTCGAGCACAGTGCGCATGGGCGGCATGGCGGTTTGATAGGAACATTGCCTGGATTCTAATTGCGGCTCTTGTTTTTTTGTTATATTATTATTATTATCATTACTATTATCGTTATTATTATTATTTATTATTGTGATGTGATAAATATTCTGCTTCATCTTTGCTCGTGTTCTGGTTTGTGATTTTTTAATGGTACTTTTGGGATTTCTTACTGATTCTTGTTTGTTTGTTTTCGCATTTGCTAGGTTTGCTACAGTGACTGATTGATTGGCGGAAATTATGTTTGACTGGCGATGATCGCATATGATTCAGTAAGTTCAATTCTGAGAGAGAGAGAGAGAGAGAGAGAGAGAGAGAGAGAGAGAGAGAGAGAGAGAGAGAGAGAGAGAGAGAGAGAGGGAGAAGTAGATTGATTTATAACTCAAGGGAAGCGATATAAGAATCGGAGAACTACATTTGATTTTGATTCTTTGCGTTGCTTTTCGTTCAATTATGATTCCAAGTACATGTAATTATGTGTATGCATATGTATACATATATGCATATGTGGAGGCATGTATAGAGAGGTACCTCGAGGGCAGTGGTTGGTGGTCCCCACCACCTCAGGGTATCAGTTGTCGGGCAGTCGTTGATGCTTAACCTCTGCCTCTGTTAAGGTGGATTATCACTTACAGTGTAATCAGTCAGGGGATTCTGCAGTCACAGCCCCTCGTTTGTTGTCTTCTCCCTCCCTCTCTGCCTACGGTTTACCGGGCCGCTCCTCGTTTGTTGTCCTCTTGTCCCTCTTGTCCATTCTCAATATGCATTTGACCACGATTATGCTTCATAATTGTTTTAATAATTTTCTTTACTTGTCATTATTCTTTTCTGTTAGATACGTGTTAATGATTGTCTTCTCGAAAGACGAACTAGGTAGTAGAAAGCGGATCATATTCAAATTAAGCTATCCTAAAAGACGAACACACCAATGCGGGGAGTTTGGGGGATACATTTTATGTTTTGGTCAATAGATGGTTATATTTGATTGCTGGAATAGATGCTACATTTTATGTTTTGGTCAATAGATGGTTATTTGATTGCTGGAATAGATGCTCATTTGATGGTTATAGATGCTTTGGTTACCCCCCAAAACGTTTGGGTGTCCAACCGAACTTGAGGGGCCGAATTTCCGAAAATTCGTTCTGCTCACGCCAAAATTCATTTCGGGGTTTTTGAAGTTTTTTGGGTATGTTCTATAGCATGTAGAGTACATGCCTATTACATTTCAGGGCATTTGAATGATTAAAAAAAAATGAAAAATCGCCAAAGATGGCGATGCCAAAAATATGCTCTCCCTCTCACTATTTTTTTTTGTTTTTTTTCCTTTTTCCTTTTTCTTCCATTTTATATTTCTGAAACCTTTTTATTGTGTGTGTGTGTGTGTGTGTGTGTGAGAGAGAGTGAGAGAGAGAGAGAGAGAGAGAGAGAGAGAGAGAGAGAGAGAGAGAGAGAGAGAGAGAGAGAGAGAGAGAGNGAGAGAGAGAGAGAGAGAGAGAGAGAGAGAGAGAGAGAGAGAGAGAGAGAGAGAGAGAGAGATTGACTGACTGACTGACAAAGAAAGAGAGATGGGGATGGGAAGCAAGTTACAGGGGGAGTGTGTGAGAGAAAAAGGGGAGGGAGAAAGTGAGAGAGGACGAGTGTTTGAGCAATATACAAGCTGTCATGCAACCGCTCGACAGACCGGTGACAGGTCCTTGTCACGATGCTGACAGCACCCTTATGAGACCCCACTAAAAGACAAACACCACCAGGCATAGCACAGTCTCTTGGCTGCGAATTCAGAACACATGAGTACATAGATTCCTGTAGACGACAAGCTGTCCATTAGAATGGAACCATGGGATGGTCGACCCGTCCTGCTTTCCACTGATAGGCGCTCGCCACACAGCCTTCGAAACGTGCAAAATCGACGCAGCATCTTTGCCACACAGGCTTTCGAAACAAGTGCCATCTATAGCTTTCTCGGCCTTTTGGCTGAGATCAAGTGTAGTATCTGTTCTGATCAGTCTAATATCTGATCCGTTGTCCATCGGACCACACGATATTAAATTAAGTTTTCTGGGCCACGGAGGGGTCGTACGGGTAAGCTTGCTTACTCGACCCCTCTAGTGTTGCCTCTGTATTGCACTGCAGCAGAGTGCGGCGCAGCCCTTTAAAAAAAAAAAAAAGTGCCATCGAAAAAGTTTGGAAAGGTGTCAGTCAGATAGTTCTGCGTCGAAAGTCGTTTCGAAGGAGGAGCACGATTCTCCCGGCTGTCACTGTTGCGAGCGTTTCTTCAAAAGCCCAAGAGTGGTCTTGTGAAATGTTCCACTCGAAACGGCCTACTGGCAAAAAAGAAGAAGGAGAAGAAAAAGGGGGCCATTAGAAGGGTCTGGTTCTGCTACTCTCGACATGCACAAAAGACAAAAATCATGGTTTTGTAGCTTTCCATGTTCTACGCAAACATTCACAATCTCGTTTTACACACGTCCGGAGTAGTGGAGCTGAGGCCCTAATGTGTATGTTGAAAGGCCTCGGTGTTTCGAAAGTCTGTGTGGTGAAAGGGGGGGTTCCTTTCAACGGGCAGCCTTTCGAATGAAGTCTGACACCTTTCAGAAAATGCCAGCCTTTCGAATGAAGTCTGAAACCTTTCAGAAAATGCCTTCATTGGAAAGGCTGTGTGGCGAGCCCCAAAGAGTGGCGTCTTCAAGTACCATGACTAGATGTTTTTTTCCAGCTGCAACAGTTTTCGTACGCAGTTGTTCTAGTGTGTCGCCACTGTGCTAGTGGAACCGCGAGCAGTTGTTCCAGTGTGTCGCCACTGTGCTAGTGGAACCGCGAGGTTTTCTGGAAAAGGTCTAAACTCGCGCTTGAGAAGCTCATAGACCCTTGCCACACCACTGTCCAAACGAAAAACGAACGAATGCATCTTCCCGCGGAGGAGGGCAATGTGCATCCGTTACTATGAATAGCAACGGCTGCATCTTACCTCTTTCTGCGGCAGATGCATCCTTAATGTGCATCCGTTACTATGAATAGCAACGGCTGCATCTTACCTCTTTCTGCGGCAGATGCATCCTTTCTCTTTTCGTTTCGACAGTGGTGTGGCGAGGCCCATAGGGCATGTCTTCATCGAGCTCCCGTAGCTCAGTGGGTTAGAGCATCGGTCTTATGCAAGTACGAAAGCTGAAGGTCGTGGGTTCGAGCCCCCCCGGGAGCATATCGAAGGATATTCGCCAATGTAAGGGAGGTATTCGGTACGTGTTATACCTTCCGGATTGCTCAATTGCAGTCGAACCTGGCTATCGTCATTGGCGGGCTTTTAAAAAAATGAAACAAAGAGGATGTTCTTTTGCCGGGCTTTTTCAAAAATGAAACAAAGAGGACGTTCTTTTGCCTGTCTCTTATACACATCTAGATGTGTATAAGAGGCCGTTCTTTTGCCGGGCTTTTAAAAAAATGAAACAAACAGGACGTTCTTTTGCCGGGCTTTTTCAAAAATGAAACAAAGAGGACGTTCTTTTGCCGAATCTGATCGTTATTGCTGCCCGATCAAACCTATGCTATTGCAAGGGGAAACATTGATATCGCCGTTCTCATCCGAATGGGTGACCTCGGGTCCGAGCCTTCCCCCCTGTCACCCTCCTCACGCCTTTCATCTTAAACTCCAGGCCAACCCAATTCACCGCGGTACTCGTCCGTTGGCCAACTTCTCGTCCAACCTGCAGAACGTGATAGGTGCAATGACCCAAACTACCTCTTCCTTGTGCTCCACTACCTAGTTGTTCACCTTGTCCTCCAACCTCTCTACCGCCTTCTCGACCTTCTTTTCACCTCCTGTTCAGCCTCCTCTCCTCCTCCTCTTCAGCATCCTCCTCCTCCTCCTCCTCCTCGACCATTGTTTCGCGTCCTGCTCGATCTCTCCTCCCCGTCCCCCTCCACCCGCTCTTCGACCACTGCCTCGTTCGTCCATCCATTCACCTCATTTCCCCGTGACTCGACAGATCTTGTATTACCTCGTATTCAAACCTGCCCCCATGGGATCCCCTTCTCATTTCTGTTTTTTTTTGTTAATCAGCATTGCATTACCTAATTGGAACCGAGGCCGGGGAACCTCACAAACAACCTGGAAGGAAACTCCCCTTTTCAATTGGCTTACGCGTCCAGTTTGGTGGGAACTCCTGCCGCTACTTTACCTACTGGGGGGTGGGATTCCTCCATCTCTCTCTCTCTCTCTCTCTCTCTGTGTGTGAGCTAACGAGAAGTGAGGGTGGTGCGCAGCTTGGTGACGGTAATAGGCCCAAAAAAAACTCCCTTTTTTAAGTGCGTGGAGTTGGTGTGATTTGGGGAGGTAGTTCTCTCTCTCTCTCTCTCTCTCTCTCTCTCTCTCTCTCTTTCTTACCTTGGCATTGTTTCGTAATGAATACCTTGGCGTGTTTAAGCAGTGGCTCGGCTGTGGCACCCATCTCTTCGCAGGGCGGTGAGTTTCTAAGACAGGAAGGATGGTGTCGACAGGCACATTGTGCCCGTGCTACTTTTTCCAAATTAAGTCACAGATGGAGCTCATCTTGTGC